TCATCAACTACATCATCATTATTATCTGTGTTATTGCTTTGTACAACCTCAACAGTAGCCCTCTCAGAACCTTTGTTAATATATTTAAAAATATATTTGATGGAAGCACCTTGATTGCACCACTCAACAATATTGTGAGCTTGGTATCTTTTCAAATGAAGTTTGTAATATGGAACTACACTTCTATTGTCTAACTTAACACCAGACTTTTCAACAAAAGATCCATCATTACGTCTCTTATATATTAGATAACCCTTGTCATCAATCGAAGTATGCTCTTTGCATGTCTTTAGGAAGTTTTTTGAACACTTGCTATCAATCATGCATGGGCATTTAAGATTATCACTACCACAAGGACCATGCATCACGAACTCGTTGACAAGTGAATACAATTCTAGATCGTAGTCTTTGTTTGGAATTTCAAAAAAATAACCCAATCAATATGTTCAACGGTTGGGAGCTTGTAATTAGAGTGCATCAATAGACATATATGGGTAGGCTGTGCTTTTGAAACTCCACCGTATAAACAATTGAAAATTTATTAAATAGAGATGTATTGTAAGATATTGAAAAAAAAAAAGCATATTATCAAAATATATAAAAGCACTTTAAAAATGCATTGATAATATAAGATAAAATTACAAAAATGGTCCTTGTTAGTTTACCATAAGTAACAAAGTCAGCCCTTATTAATTGTTTTTTATACAAATGGCCCCTGTGGTATGCAAAACTTACACAGATAGTCCTTTTTACAAACGCCGTTAGTAACCGTTAGGGACTGAATTAGCAAAAAAAAAATGATACACATGGCCCCCGTGGTTTGCAAAACTTGGACAAATGGTCATTTTGGTCTTTTCAAGTATAAAGGGAATGAATTCGCAACTTTGGGTAAGCAATAGGAGCCATTTTTGTAATTTTGTCTTGAAATAATAAGAATGATAAAAAAAATAATAATGATAAAAAATGAAGGGAGGAGGATTCAAACTTGGACCTCCTTCCCTTTCCTTATTCAGCCAAAGCTCTAACCAAGTTGGTTGGAGCCAAACTTATTATATATTTCTGAAAATTAATTAATATTATCTAAAACCGTAAATAATTAATAATAGAAAATAAAATAAAAACATATTTTAAAAAATTCAATAAAACAAAATGTATTTTTAGCGTATTGTAAAAAAAATTACAAAAAATTCACTTGTTTTTTTATGTATTTTTTTACATAAAATGTTTATTTAATGTAATTATAGAAAATGCGTTTCTTATACTATGTTATTATATTGCTATGATCCTAAAACATATTTTTACATTTTCATATAAAAATACGTTTTTTTTTTCTCACATCGAAAAAAAGTTTTTTACGTATAAAATATGTTTTTTATATATTTAAAAAATACATTTTCGTATAAAATGTTTTTACGTAAAAACATTAAGAACGTAATAACATAACATAAAAATATGTTTTAGGATCAAATCAAAACGACTTATCTTTTTTACGTAAAGCAAACTAAAGACGTTAAAAACGTAAAAATCTGTTTTCATATAATATTTTTTTACATATGTTTGATTGGTCCCTCACCCATATAATGTATTTTTTTTACTTAAAAACGTTAACGTGATAACATATTATATGAAAACACATTTTTACGTTATGTTAACGTTTTTAGTTTGCTTGACGTAAAATATAAGACGTTTTGATTTGATCCTAAAACATATTTTTACGTCATGTTATCACGTTCTTAATGTTTTTACGTAAAAATATTATATACGAAAATATATTTTTTAAATATATAAAAAACATATTTTTCATAAAATAGACACGTAAAAAAATTCTATGTGAAAGTAAAAAAAAAAAAACATTTTTTTATATGAAACGTAAAAATGTGTCTAGGATCATAGCAATGTAATAACATAGTATACGAAAACATATTTTTTTGAATACATTAAAAAAATATATGTAAAACAAATACGTAAAAAAACAAGTAAATTTTTTTGTAAAAAATATTTTTTAATATACTCTAAAAATATATTTTATTTTATTAAAAATTTTTTAAAAATTTATGTTTATTTATATTTTTTAGGATTTATTATTTACAATTTTAGATAATATTAATTAATTTTCGGCAATATATAACATGTTTGGCTCTAGTTTAGTTGGTTACAGCTTTAGCTGAAAAAGTAAGGGGAAGGCCGTCCCAAGTTCGAATCCTCCCCCCTTATCATTTTATGACAAAATTACAAAAATGATCTATGTGGTTTACCCAAAGAGACAAAATTACAAAAATGATCAATGCGGTTTACCCAAAGTTGCGAATCCAATCCCTTTATACTTGAAAAATCTTTTTCTATTATTCTTATCATTTTAAGACAAAATTACAAAAATGGTTCATGTGGTTTACCCAAAGTTGCGAATCTAGTTCCTTTATACTTGAAAATTGAAAAGACGAAAATATCATTGCTAATTCAGTCCCTAACGGCTGAATAGTACCAGCGTTAGTAAAAAGCATCATTTGTGCAATTTTTGCAAACCACAGAGCCATTTGCATCAAAAAAAAAATTAGCAGGGATTGATTTTGTTATTTTTGGCAAACCATAGGGACCATTTTTGTAATTTTGTCTTAATATAAGTTACCTGCTTGAACCAAAATCAATAACGAATTTTTCTTTAAGTCTTTAATCAACGAATATGTCTTCATTTTGAACAACCTAGATTGGATATCGGTTCTATCTTCAGGTTTGAGGTTTGTCTCAATAATAAACCTTTAAATTTTGGGCCACTTTGGATTGCATGTTAAAGTTATGAAATAATCAGGGTATCCAAACCACTTACAAAGTAACATCGTATCTAAATAGTTATGCATCATGTAGCGTGCACTACTGGTAAAAGAAGATGGCAATATCACACATTGTCCGATATTGGAAATATCCGATGTTGGTTTAACTTGCTTAACCCATTTAAGTAAATACATTGAGGTGGGTAAAAATTGTCAACCTATTTAACTTTAATATATACGCTTAATTTATTAATTATTCAAATATTATCATGTATTAATAAAATTATTATTTTAACAATTATAATGTTGTATATTATTATTTATGTTTAAACAAAATGCCATCCTAATTCCTATCCTTTTTATTAACACAGGCAATACCAGTCACTCTCTAAAATCACTTCGAAATTAAACATTTTAAATTTTATTTAAACAATTTATGTGTATTTGTGAATTCGGATAGTGCTTTTGTCGTACTTTGTAATTTTATTTACATTTGGAACTATCTTTAGTGGTGTCATCTTTAGTTAAACAGGGTAACCTCATGACGACCCATTTATCTAAAAGATTTGGTTGGGTTGGAAATATCAACACATTTAGATAGATAGATTGGGTTGGGTTAAGAGCTTCAACCCAACTAATAAATAGGTTTAAACCCGAACTCAACCTAAGTCGATCTATTGTCAGCTCTAATCCTTATTGATTTTTTAGGGTTTCTAGGGTTTATGCATTTTCTACTGAACTATCCCATATATATATATATATATATATATATATATATATATATATATATATATATATATATATATATATATATATATATATATATATATATATGAGAGTTCAGAAGAAAATGCATTAACCCTAGAAACCCTATATATGATTAAATGTGAACTCTAAATATAGTGTGAATTTATATCAAATGTGAAGTGTCCAATTAAAACAATATATGGTTTTAGATTTTATAGTATTATCTTAAATATATGATAATGACTTAATCATTTTTTTTTTAAAATTAAACCCTTACAAGGGGAGTTTTAGTCTATTAACATATATTTAGAAAAATCATTACTTATCTCTTAATTTTGTGGGATTTTATTAAATAGTTATAGGTGTACGATGAATACTTAGGTGACGTTTCAGCCACAGAATATTTCTGAAAGAATTTGAATTTATCAAAAAATTGGAATCTATTAGTAACTACTCATTATAATCCAAGTTCATATTTTGTTTAGTTGTAAAAATGGATTTTAAATCTAATTTCATTTTTTTTTTTTTGCTGACATGAAATAGAATTGGAATACTATAAAATGATATAACTATCCTTTTTTTTTTGCTTGATTGTACTTTGTTTTATAATTTATATCTAAAGATATATTATATAATTTATAAAAATAAAAAATGGATGTGGTTGCAATGATGGGGGTGTCGATACTGATGAGTGATGGAGGTGGTGGTGGGGGTGAGTGGTGGTAGTAGTGGTGGTGGGTAAAATGTTAAATTTCAAAAAATTGTTGAGAATAAGAATGAGTAAGAACACATTAGAAAGAAAAAAATAAGGTAAAAAAGCAAATCTATTTCTTGCAACATCGTTGTAAGATATATGTGGAGTCTACTATTATTTTTCCAAATGACCCTTTAGTGTGTGTATATATATATATATATATATATATATATATATATATATATATATATATATATATATATATATAATGTTTGTACTATCTATTGTGTGGATGTAGGATTTATTCTAAAACAATCATTTTAGTTATTTTAATAAAGTAATTAATGCATATTAAATTCTGAATATTTAATTAATACTCATTATATCACTAACATGTAATATGCATTAATTACTTTATTTATTTATTTTTTATTTTTATTTTTTTATTTTATTTTATTTTATTTTTTGAACCGGTAAATATAAGTATCTAATTTACACCTAAACTAACACCTAATTCAATCTATGTCCACGATGAGACTTGAACCCTCGACCTCAAGGAGTGAGGGCACCACCTGATACCGCTGGGCTAGAAGCCCTTTGGTATTAATTACTTTATTAAAATAACTAAAACGATTGATCCACGACCAATCCGACATGCACACAATAGATAGTTAGAACACAATAACTTAAGCATATATATATATATATATATATATATATATATATATATATATATAGTGAGAGAGAGAGAGAGAGAGAGAGAGGAGGAGGAGGAAGAGGAGGAGGAGGAGGAGGAGGAGGAAACTCCAACACATAGAAAGACATAAGCGAGCGTGTCACACATGACGTGGGATAGACTAACAATCACCACCAAAACACGAAGGTATAGATGGAAGAAAATTAACAATCAAACATAACTTCCATCCCACAATGCACAACAATAATGTTTAATATTTAACTCGTTACATTAAGAAATGTTAAAGAAAATCTTAAAAGATAAAGAGTAAAGTAGAATAGCATGGAAAGCAAAATCATACACCAGGAAGCATTCATATTTCACCGTCCCATAGCTCCTCGACTGTCTTGTAGTAACCATGAGTCTCATCCACAAAATAAGTACCTCTCAGAAGCCTAGCCTGCAAAAACAACAACACAAGTTCATAAGACCCCATTTGTTATGCAATACATACTGCTTTTGGCACGCATCCATACCTGCTCGATATCAGAAGAGATCTTCATGAACAAATCATCAGGAATTGACCAGTCAAAAACGTCAAAATTTTCTCTGATCCGTGATTCACTTGTACTTTTGGGAAGTATGCTATGACCCATCTGTAGACCCCAACGTAGAGCAACCTGAGCAGGTGTCTTGTGTAATTTTTCTGCTACTGAAATAAGAATCGGTTGCTTGAGTAAATCACTTTTAATATACGAGGTCCCCGGAGAACCAAGTGGCGAATATCCCTACAAAATTTATAGGAAACATATCGTACGCCTATTTATTAAAATATATATATTTTTTTGGTTATTTTTGAAAATCGATGTTTTTGTTTATTATAGTAGTGTGTTAACTTACAGATAAGTGAACGCCTTTGGATTTGCAAAAGTCTCTTAGTTTTGTTTGCTTCCATGAAGGATGACATTCCACCTGGTTGACAGCAGGTGGAACACGTGCAACATCCAACAAATCACCCAATTTCTTGGTGGAAAAATTGCTAACACCAATTGCTTTTGCCTTACCAGAGTCATAAAGTTTCTCCATTGCTTTCCATGTGTTTGGAATATCTACTGGAGCAAGATTCTCAGGTTTAGGCTCAACAGATCCCTTCTTCATCCTAACAGGCCAATGTATCTTCAAGATAAATAAAAAAAATCATTGGTCGAATCAATCATATATATAAAAAGATATACAAATTTTTTATTTAATGCATAATTACAAGGTATAAGTCGATATAGTCAAGCTGCAAATCATTTAGAGTTCTGTCTAATGCAACCGGTACATCTTCTGGTGCATGATCAGAACACCTGCAAATCATTATAGATTGTTAATTGAAACTTGGAAGGATCAGTGTGTGTGTGTGTGTGTGTATGGAAGCATGTTATGATATGAGAAGAATCTAGATTCCATGGAATGTGGAAAACCATAGCTTAGAGGTGATCCACAAATCTTCTCGTTTTACTACATCATCTTGAAAGAGCTTTTTCAAAACTAAACCAATCTGAAATAAATAAATTTACATGAAACCAATCTGCAAGAAATAAATTTAACAATCTACACATTGACATTTTATAGAATTAGCAACTAGATAACAAGAAAATTCAATAAACAAAAGTTAGTAGTTGTGTACCTCCTTTTCGTTGCGATAAATTTGAGCACAATCAATGTGACGATACCCCATCTACATGCATATGAAACATTATTTATAAGAAATAGAAACTAAAAGTTAAAACAAAAAATGTTGATTCTTTAGGACTTTAATGGTACAATGCAGTATAGGTTAGAGTTCAATGTAGTAATATTAGTTGAATATATCATATTAGTACATATTAGATGAATTGAAGAAGAAATAGTATTGGGGGATCCTAAATTATTAATAGAAACTAAAGAAAGCATAAAATTCTTACATGTCATGGATGACATACATGATTAAGTTTGTAAGAGAATTACAAATCCTTTCATAAGAATGACTTCATAAAACATGTCATGGATGACATGCATGATTAAGTTTGAATCTGAATATCTGAAGTCGAAACCGTTACTGACCCTGTTTAACTTTATTAAATTGTGCTAAATGTATTTGTTGTAATGATGTAAGGGGGCGACAGACACATGTTAGAACACAAAAAGTGAATAGAACATATGATCATTACTGAAAGTGATTTTTTCATTACATGATACGAATCGACAGAGAGTAAGAACAACTATGAAGGAGGGAGGGTAACCTTAATAGCAGCAGCAACAGCATCACCAACAACACCAGGATCCGATTGCCATGTGCCAAGACCTACAGAAGGAATCTTGGTTTTGTTAAACAACTCAAAGAATCGAATGGCATTCGACATTGTCTTGCAATTGAACAAATATTGAGAATAAGGTTGTATTTGGAGTGGGAAGAAGAGAAGACTATAGACTAACAACACTCTTAATTTTAGGCTCTCTTATGTGTCTGAAGCGGAGACTTAGCCAATGCTTCAATATCTATGGCCGGATGCCATTTTTTTAAACTCCAATATTTCCTTATTTCCATTTAGATGTTTGGATTTTTAACTTTAGACCCATCATTTTGGTCCCATTCTTTAAAGAAATCAAGTTTTAAACGTTTTACTTTTCTAAAACAAACAACATATTTTTATGAAAATAAAGAAGCCAGTAGACAACTGGAAAAAGTTATCCAAGGGAAAGAAAGGGGGCAATTTTACGCTAAAATGAAAACACCAAAAATTCTAACTCTTTGAGATTAAAACCCAAGCCCAATTTCAAACACATTGTAGAGAATTGCGGTCGACGTATTGAAGGCCTTTTGCCTTTTTCTCCATTGCATAAATCTTGTCCTTGAAAAAGAAATCAAGATAAAACCTAAAAAACAAATTGTTTTCAAACATGGAAACCTGCAAATGTCGATGTTCTATTGATCTATTTCACATGTCAATTTTGTATCATTCAACTTTATCTATCTTAAAGGCCACATATAGGAATTGGATAGGGAAACCTCATGGGTCTTGAGGAAACAAATACGGATTCTCTCTTCAGGTTCGTCAAGTAAACACATATACTAAGGTTGTGGGCAGTGGTCACCACGACAAAAGTGGTGCCACCTCTGCGCCTCGTCATCTTCACAACCAACCCACTAGACTTACGAAATGGTCACTACTCCACAATTATTATTATTTTTTATTTTTTATGATTAAATTAGATAAAAACATAATTTAAAACATAATAAAATATTCTATATTAATTAAAACCACATTACATAATTTAAAACATAGAAAATTAAACCTAAATTAGTAAAAAACATAATAACACATAAAAATGAAAACTAAAATACTAAAAAACATAAAAATGACTTAGAAAATTAAACCTAAATTACTAAAAAGCATAGAATAGAATCTAGTTGCGATATTGGTCGAGAACTTCTTGTTGAATTTTCAAAAACACCCTTAAATTTTCCGGATCGAGATTCGGTTGCGGCACCGTGTTTATAATTTGAAGATTGGTGGGTGCCAATTGTCGCCGACGTTGTTCCTCCGCTCAGTCAAATTTTTTTTTGTAAAACATTTTGGAGTTTTTTTTTTATTTTCTCCGCTAGTATGTCCTTATTGGTTGATTTTCCGCTAGAAGACGCCCCCTTTTTCGCTTTGTCCCTTCCCGGTGGTCGACAAAGTTGGACGTCCGGTGGACCCTACCGGTGGCGTCAAACTCATCATTGAGTTCGAGGTTCACACCAATGTCCGACTCAGATGTTCTCGGCCTTTTGTTGGAACCGGTGGTAGATCCTGAATGTGTTGTTTCCGGATAAAAAACCCATTATGAACCATTGCGACAAACTTCTCATGTTTTTTGGTTGACAAACGGCTTACCATTGTTGGTAATTTTGTATTGGTACAATGCGGTTGATAAAATATTGAAATCGTTGCTACCACTTTGATGCATATTTTTAAGATTGTCAAATACGACGTTAAATTTGGTGCAAGCCGCTCGAAGGTCACACAATTTTGCATTGACCGAGTTGTATGTTCGGCTCGTTTGCCTTCCTAATATCACGTTGAAATGGTATAAAACACGATTCCAAAAGCTTTGACCCAATTACGCGTTAACGACTTCCCCGTCTTGTGATATTAAAAACCAAGCTTTAGCAATGTTGCCTCCTCCTCCTCGGTCCATTGTGTATTTTTCTTTTTTGTTGAATCTTTTGATTTTTTTTGTTGCCTTCTATAACTTTGTTGTGTTTCTTGAACCCGTTCGTCGTCGTCATCGTTGTCGAGGTTTACGCGTTGAGATTGAGATAATGGAACTTGACATAGTTGTGAAGTTTGTCAACGTTGGGAAGTTTGGAGTTGAAATTGCGGAGAAGGTTGTTGTTGAAAGGCTTGAAATCCGGGTTGAACGAATTGTGGTGGTTGTTGTTGTTGGTAGTAGTGTGGGTGGTATGAAAGATTGGTGAATAGAGGTTTTTTTTGAACGGAAGATGATAACAATTGCATGTTGTTATGATAAAAATGTGTGTCTGAAATGATAAAAATGGTTGATATATATAGAGAGAAAGTGGGTATTGTAATTAATTAATTAATTAATTAATTAATTAATTTTTACAAATGATAACAATTAAACGGTCAAGAAAGGAAAAACCAATCATCTCATGCGTCTTCTCTCGTCTCCAGCTCCACATCACGCCCAACCCACCGGAGTTTGGGGTGGTGTTCATGCGTGAAGGGGGCTGACACGTCATCCCCCACGCGTCTTTACCCCTACCACTTTGGGTAGCCTAATACATATAGATCATCTCTTTGGGTTCTAGATCATTTTAAGCCTACTTTAGAAGAAGAAATTCAGGTGAATTCAACTTGTTATGTACTTATGTTTAGGGTCGATTGGTTTTGGTATTAAATTAGTTTAATTGATTGATGAAAGGAAAGAAAATTGAATTTATTTGCTTCAAAAACCAAGAGTAGATTGCAGTAATGGTCCTTGTGTTTTGGTCAAATTCACAATGTCAGTCCAACTTTCAAAAAGTTGATAATATGTCATTGATCTATGTAAAAGACAATTTTTCACAAATAGTCCTTATGGTTTTCATTTTTTTTCTCTAAAATAGTTTCTATAAAATCTTTTTTGGATGAATGGCCTTCTAGAACAAACCTTACACACCAATGGTCCATCTAATGGATGTCTGTTAGATGGATTCGTTAAGTTGAAATAGTTTTGGATTAGGACAATTTCTATCATTTTGTGAAACTACGTCTAAGGACCATTCGTGAAACTTCGTCACAGAAACATTTGTTAAAATTTAAAGAAGTCTATTAACTATTGTGTTAATTATTATACATCAAATAAAATTTTAAAAAACTAAAACTTAAAAAATGTAATATGTATATAAATTAGATTATAACTTGCGTTAAAAACGGGGGAATGCATAAAAAAAACATGCAATCATCTAATGATTAAAGAAAAAATTATGGCTATTCGTATTATTGAAATATGTAGAAGATACACTGAAATTAATGAATATCTATAATCGTTGAGTGACCTCTTTGTAGACAACATTTTTTTTTCGCATCACATATGAGTACCTTCAAACCATTTTTACTTGTGACACAGGAAACAGCTACATATAACCGACCATGAGTGAAAACGGGTCTACGCAAATATAATCCAACATCTGATAATGATTGTCCTTGACTTTTGTTAATGGTCATAGCAAACAAACAACTATGGGGAATTGCCTCCGCTGAAAATGGAATGAAATTTTTTTTATCAGACGGGGTTCACTTCATACGAAGTATATAAGTAGTCTCATTGAAAAATCTGCTAAATATGATTCGGGCTTCAATGATGTGTCCTTTTGATCTATAATCTAGTACTATTGCATAGTCCTTTGTTTTGATCGATATTACAAAGTAACATGACCGGGACACCTTTTTTTAGTATAAGCTTATGGTTGGGAATTCCAGAAGCCTAAAAACCATTCAACACATCTGGAGAGTATATTGATTCCTTAAAAGAATCTTGTGTCTTAGTCTCACATAAGAAATAGGAACTCAGATACGGATTTCCTTCATCTTTAATCAATTCTAACATGTACTCATTGATAACATCGACTTCTTCATTTGTAGGGACCAAAATAGCTTTATCTTGAAAATACGGTGGATCATCAAAATGGTCTGAAAGGATAAATAAATGGTGGATACAACTGAATAAATATGGTCACCCGTAGAAGGAACGATAACTTCTTCTTGAAATTCAACTTCAACTTCACAATCATTAGGGCCACCAATAGTACCTTCACCAATTTTAAGAATCCATTCAACAAATGATTTTGTCTCTTCGAAATCATTATATGGATAGCTAACTTGAAGCCTCGTGTTTACATTCAAACATAAAACTATACATTCACGCCATAATCTTGATGAATGCAATGATGCATGGACAATATTTTAATGATTTCCTCTTTGTATTATTGGAAGAATCTGTCGAAAGTTACCTCCAAATACAATGGTCTTGCCTCCAAATGGTTTATTCTTGTCCGGTGAAAGAATAACGTCTTTACGTGTCCTATTAATTGCTTCGAAATAATGACGATGCATCATTGGGGCTTCATCCCATATGACAAGTCCAGCTTTATTCAACAGTTTAGATACATCGTTACTTGGTGTAATAGAATAAAACGAATCCTCATTCAAGTTGATTGGTATATGAAATCTTGAATGTGCTCTCCTACCACCAGAGAGCAAGAGTGATACAATTCCGCTTAAAGCAACGTTGATAACAATTTCACATTTAGATCTAATAGCAGCAGACAGTGTCTTCCAAACAAATGTTTTTCTTGTTCCTCCATAACCATATAGGAAAAAGACACCAACTTTTTTGTTGTTAACAACATTCCTAAATGTATCATAAACCTTTTTTTGCTCGACATTTAATTTGGAATTCAGTTGTTGATGTTCGACTTCAAGATCGGATGGATCATAATTAAGCTCATCTTGAATTAACATATTTCAAGAATCTTGAATATATTTGTGATCAGGTAATGACATATTGGGTATTTGCTTCAAGAAATCAGCATAACAGGTACATTTTCAAATAATCTAACCCATTTACACGTTATTAATTCTAGCAAGTGATTATTTTATCCAATAGAAAAGCCTTTCTTTGATCCAATAATCACTTGATGTGTGTATGGGTCTTTGGGTGTTATTTGATCCAATAATCAATTGATGTGTGTATGGGTCTTTGCTTCAAGAAATCGGCATAACATGTACATTGTCCTTGACTTTTGATAACAATCAGGTACATTTTCCCTATTGGGCCGAAAGCTTTTCTTTGGGCCCTATTGGACCGAAAAGTCTTTCTTTGGGCCTTATTGGGCCGAAAACTTCTAATGGGCCTTCCATTGGGCCGAAAACCCTTCTATTGGATCAAATAACACCCAAAGACCCATACACACACAAAAAACCGCAAACACATTAGGAAATTAGGGTGTTTTCGGCCACCCTTAAAACCGAAAACCCTTGAGAGGCCTTAAGGCCGCAAAACCCCTTAGTTTTGATTAAGGATTTAATAAAACAAA